TTGAAAATCAAAAAGATCATTGAACAAGTATTGGTTAATAAAATTTAAAATTTATAATTTAATTCTAGATAATTATTTTATAAATTTGAAAGATAAGGAAAACGACAACAAATTTAGAAAATTGCTAGATATATATATATATATATATATATATCTAGCAATTTTCTAGATTTGTTGTCTATACCATATCTTTCAAATTTATAAAATAATTCTCTAGAATTAAATTACAAATTCTAAATTTTATTAACCAATACTTGTTCAATGATCTTTTTGATTTTCAAAAGGAATACATAGCAATTTGTCGAATTATCATCAATATTGTATCGTAAGTTATTAAGGGAATATGCTAAAATTTGAGAATCATATGACCTTGATTTTATAACAAATCAATCTAAAATTCTCCTTTCATACCCATACCCAGTAAAATTCATACCATTTATTTTGTTTTTAAAACTTCTAAATACACTTCTATCATATAAAAAAAAAAAAATATATATATACCATTAAAATTCGGACATTTCATACCAAAATAAATTCGCCCACTTTATATCATAAATTCATACGTTTGTTAATAACAATATTTGCTACAAAAAATAAAAATGGTCATCATATACGTCAAATAAAATCATCCACTTTATACCAAAATTGGATTTATTAATTTTGTCTATTTTATACCATAAATTGATCAATTAATTTCTAGAGGCGGTATTTTTCAATTTTTTTTAAAAATATTACCAGATTTAATAATTTTATATTTTTTAAGCGAGATTTTAGTTTCTATTTCAAGTAAATATAAATTATATATATATATATATATTTTTTTTTTAATAACGTAAACATAAAATTCATATGATCGAAATAATCTTCAACTCTTGTTGCACCTTTCATTCCAAATCTTTAATGTATTTTTTGAAAGTCCAATATCACACAAGCAAAATGAACTTTGTTTAAAAAAAATAAAAATAAAAAATCTTCAATCCTATTATTATTATGTGATGTAACAACAAGTAACATATATATAATTTAATAGAAGTGCAATTTCAAATCTCAAAGTAACTACCAAAAAAAAAAATTTATATATTTTCAATTCAACTTTCTTCATAAATATTGTGCATTGGAGTGATAATAAAATTTATTTATCTACACTATGCCACGTCATAATTAGCATTGGAGTGTTAATATAATTTTGTATGGTTAATTAGTTTTTTTATGTGGACAGTAACCTCTCTTAACAAACGCCACATTTTTAGGCCACCATTTAATGCTGGTTGTTTTTGAAGAAAAAAAAAATCTAATAAATAGCATGTAATTAATGTTTGACCAGAATTTGACTTGCCATTTTTAAAAATGGTAATTCTTATTATATATATATATATATAGATATTTTGGCACGAGAGTATGATTTGAATTTATTGAATATTTGAGGTCATAAAATGTAATATTCCCTCCTATTTTTAATAAATGTCGTTTTAAAAAGTTGCACAGTAATTATGAATCATTTTTTGCCAATAATAACCCTCTTTAATGAGGATAGAAATGAATGTTTTGAAAAAAAATGAAGAGTAAATATGAAAAGACGTAGTTTATTTATGAGGTAGATGAGAATAATAATGATGTATAAAAAATCCAACACGATATTTATTTAGTAAATTGTTGACAAAACTAAAATGACATTTAAAAAAAATAGGAGTGAGTATATATTATTTATTTATTCGCCGTCAGCTCGTTCAGCTCGGCTAGCGGCCACCCCAATTACAATTTACAATACAACCATTCAACGGCGGTCCTTGACCACATTCTCCGACGCCTCTCCGCCTCCGGCGACCCCAAACCCTTCTCTGACTTCAGCCCATCGTCGACCTCATCGAGCCCAAAACATTACCTCTGCACGGAGGACAAGGCTTTAGATGTTTAGAAAATTTGCTCGTAAAAGACGTTTAATATATCCTTCAAAGTCGTGTGTGGCAAGTGGGATTTAGTGGGCAAGGGGATTGGTGTGGGATGTGTATAGTTATGACGCTCTGGTTAATGGTTTTTGTATAAAGTGGGGATTTAAAGAAAGCCGTGAAGGTGTTTGATGAGATGCTGGATAGAGGTGTGTAGCCCGATGTTACATGTTATGACATTTTAATTCATGGGCTTTTTTCAAGTTTATTGTAAGGCTATTAATGGGACGTGGGGGAGGTTGATCGAGGATTCTTGGGCTTATCCGAGTTTAATCGTGTACAATGTTTTTTATCAGTGGCTTGTGCAGGTGTGGCAGATTTAGCAAGGCCAGGGAGTTGGCAGAAAATGGGTTTGTTCATGAATGTTGCTTTGATTTACGGGTCGTGCAACTCGGAGGATATTGAAGGGGCCGATTGCTGTTTTGTATGAGGAGATAGATAAATTTAAGGTGTCACCCAAATGCCATTTTGTAGAATGCTATGTTGAATTGTTAAGTCAAGGTTGGGAAGATTGATAGCTGTCTTGAGCTGTGGGAATTGATGAGAAGTAAGAATAGTCGAAATACGTTTAGTTTTAATATAATGATGAAAGGGTTTCTTGACAATGGTAGGGTCGATGAAGTAATTTCCTTGTGGGATTTTGTTGCTTACTCTACAACTTACTAGAATTTTAGCTCATGGCCTGTGTAAAGATGGATGTTATGATATTATTTTACATGTACTGAAGAATGCTTTGGGGGAAAGTGACGTTCTAGGTGATGCTTATGCATATTCATCTATGATTTATGGGTTTGTAAGAAGCAAAGTTGGATGAGGCACTTTCTGTGTTGAATGGTATGTCTAAAATTTGAGGTAAGCCAACTGTTCTTATTTGTAGTGCTTTTATCACTGGCCTTATAGATGCTTCTATATTCGAGGAATGATCCCCTACAACTGTGATCTACAATACTGTCATTAACGGATTTTTTTTTTTACATGAATTAATTTTGTTCTGCCAAATTANTTTTGCAGCTTCGTGGTAAATACCCTTCATGTGATTTGAATCCTATGTTGCACGACTCTGTCTCAGCCACATGCTGTTATGGTAGAGACTGGTAGTTTTTTGGATGGTTTCCTGTTCGTAAATCTGGAAACATTGCTGGTCTTGAAATGAATTACAGAAATACTTTTTACTGATTAATTTTATTTTTTTTTCCACCGAGGTTCTTCTCATGATCATAACAATCTTATATAACAGGTCATACATTATCATTTATGGCATGACTGTTGAACTTCAAAAGGGCACCTAATGTCTCGTTTGGTATGTTTTCTCGATGGCTTCATATTCGCTAATTTTTTAGATTGACGGTCGGATTTCTTGTATCTAGCAGCAAACTATAAATTTAACTAAACACAAACCAAAATCTCTATATTCACAGAATTCAGAAAGAGTGGTGCTGAAGACGGTAGTTATCTGAATAGTACATTGAGAATAGCAATTCGCAGAATTGAATGTCAAATAAATCCCAAAATCATAATTCTTGAGCTCAATAGAGGCATGTTGAACAGAAAGTATATTGCTCTTTCAAGCCCTGGTTGTGTAGTTCACACAAAGCATTGAAATGTATGTTTGGTGATTTTAGTTCTTTCACCAAACAATACATATATATATACTTGATGCTACAGCAAAGTTGGCCTGATGTATTAGCCCCAAATAGTAATATTTTATTTGGAGTTATAACCCATGCCACACTCCCACTCTCTCTTGTTTAACATAAAGGTGATATTAAAATTTATAACACATCACATTTCCTGTTTTGTAGATGAGTTGAGAAAAATGCTGAAAATTTAGACAACTCATAGTACTCTAATGTACAAAAAGTTTCTTTCATTCTTCACTATGGGAGGCCGAAGATGAAAATTTATTCGGTTTCCTTCTTTTGTTCTGATTTATCTGTTTCGTCAGATAACATGCTCTGTTCGTATACGAGCTGAGAAATTAACCCTATCAGAATAACCCCAAGAACCGCAATTTTCTTCCAATCGGACGTTATAGATATCGTTGCATCTATTATTCCAAATACCACTAACCCAATCAGCCCCAGATAAATATTCCTTCTAGCAACTGAGCCAGCACTTCTACTAGCAAGCTCCCGAACTTTTTGAGCTTCCTCCTTAGCTTTTTCCTTGTCGACTGGCTTTTTCTCCCTCAAGTTCTTGAAGAAAAGCCCTTCATTCCTATCCTCCTCGATTTGGCTCTCGAAATCAGCCAATTTCTTCTCATTCTCTTCAGTCTCTAATCTGTTCACCTCTATGGACTCCTCAAATGCCTGCATCTGGCTCTCTATATTTCCCATTATCTACACAACAAACACAGAAAATAT